AAAGAAGGCTTGTCACTTTCTCCCCAGTTACTTATTTAATCAATAAACGTGGCAGAATGTTAAACCTTAAAAAGACTTTCCACAATAAAAAGAGATACAGTTTTAACTTGATAAAAATAAATGAAACTGAATTCCTTCGCAACTAGAAACATAAAATTAACTAAACACTCCGTAAATCCTAAGTATGATCCTAAGCTCGTTACACGCAATACTTCATTGAATTCCCAAAATAACTCTATGAACCAAGTGCAATAATTATTCCCATTTCACAGATGAGAGAGTCATAGGCCAAGGAGGTTCAGTAAATTTCCTAAGACTGAGGAGCCAGATTTCAAACTGGCAGGTGGATCCGAAGCCTGCTGTTACTGTGCCACACTGCTTCTTGATTCTGGGAGTACTGGTGTAATTTTATCACAAAAAGATTATTCTAATCATTTTAAGCAAGAATGACTAAAACAGTGGAACTAAGATAGAGTACTAAGATGGGTAAAAATCCTCCAGTTTTTGTTAATCTGGAATACAATTCAGAGTGATATTTTTGCAGCGTAAGTGCTCTTTTCGTGCTATCTATGCAGAAATGTGTGTGCATGACCATGCATGCATGTGAGCACGTGTTTGTGTATCATGAGAAAAACACAGAATCAGAGAGACAGAGGAAGGGAGAAAGAGATTTTAAAACATAAGATAAAGGGGGGCGCTTGGGTGGCTCAGTCGGTTAAGCGTCTGCCTTCAGCTCAGGTCATGATCCCAGGGTCCTGAGATCGAGCCCTGTGTCGGGCTCCTTGCTTAAGGGGAACCTGCTTCTCCCTCTCCTCCTAGCTCAGTGCTCTCTCTCTCTCTTTCTAATAAATAAATAAAATCTTAAAAAAAAGAAAAAATAAGATTAAAAAAAAACCTCCTTGTATTAATTCTGGATTATACTAACTTGAATAGGTCACCAAGGTACCACAACATAACTTCTAACAGCTATTCTGAGAGAGATTTATAAAGCTATCTGTCTCATCTCTGCTTTCTTTCCAATTTACTCAGTGTGGAAAATAACACTGGCCTTCCAAAACCTTAACTTATGTTTGGACCTCTTCCATATGAGTCTGACTCTAGTGTTGCTGACCATTAAAATGAATATTTCAGTGGGGCTGGAACAGTCCTGTTAGCCCGAGCCAAGCTTTATATGGCTTGCACACTTTAAGAGGTTAATCTAGCAGTATTAAATGGAAAGACTATAACATTCAAAGAAAGGCAAAGTTCACTGAGTAAGACCCCAATAATATAATGGAGCATAAAACCTCTAGAATTTTTTACCGTAATATTTTATGAAATATAGGTACACACTCACTGGAATAGAATCCAATACAAATGGTTCTGTAGGTCAATTCAAAGTCAGTACATACGCAGTATCTTTGGGAGAAATATGTACTATTTCAAAAGTACCTGGACCTAGACGCTTCCTTTCTCTATTTTATAGTTTATTATCAGTCTAGAAATATGCTACATTGGGGAAAAAAGTCACCTACCACAGTATAATATAATTTGGCACCAAAACAAAGTTCAATAAAATAGTACAAATTTCAGTATCAACAAATCCTTGTGTTGTGGAACAAAAAGAATCACAGAAGTTAATTCTAAAAGGAAGTGCTATTTTAAGTGTGGGTGATAAACATAAAAATTGAAACAATGATTTCATTCTCAACTTCACAACTGATTATGAAATCCTTTAATGTGCATTGTTGTGAAAGGAGCAAAAGACTCTCAATTCGTACATTTAAAAGAAAAGTGAATTAGGAATGGGCTTGAGTAGAGCCACCTATTTGTATTATTCTGATGTTTCCTAAATGCTAGGAGCAACCATGATCCTCCTAAGGGGAAAGGAAGTAAAGGTCCACTTTGCATGACAAAGGTCAGATTTCTGCAGACAAATGAGACTTCTTTGATTGACTGTTCCTAGGTTATCACTGTCTGGCTGGGTCCTAGGAGGTCAAGAGAGGTTCTAAACTCTGCTCACTGCTTAAGGGACACCCCTGGGGCCACTTTAATCATTTTAAGATCATTACAACTTTTCTTATTCTGGTTCCAGCTTTACTCCCTTAAATCTTGCTAATACATATTGGCAAGTCAGTCCTGAGGTAGGTTAAAAAGAAATTGGAAGTATTTAGTATTATATGCAGATCGAAAGAGAGAATCCACTCATTTAACAACTTCTTTTAAATCTAAGACTGAGTTCAGTGAAATTCAAGTAGACCACAGAGGGTGATAATCAGGCCCCAGTAGGAAAGCTTGACTCTATTATAGCTGTCCTGGTATTTATACAATGTGATCAATGCCACTACTCTAGATTTCATTTAATATGATGTAGCTTTATACAAAAATTATCTTAGTTTCCCCAATCATTACACAGGTTTAACTGTAATTATGGTAATATTTTGTTTGCTTTTTTGTAATAGCTATTAAGTCATAAACATACAAGAAATGCTGAAGTAAAAATTATCACTTGAGTGTATTTCAATGCTCTTCTATTTAGTGCAAATAACATGTATAAACTTTCTCACAGTGGACTGGAAATACATCAAATGGATCACATGGATAAAAGAAGAGTTCTGTTCTGCCTATTTGTAATTAATGAAGGATAGCTCTTAAGTACTTTAGATAATGTGTATAAAACATCTATATTTAATTATAACATCCTTCTTTTAGATGATGGGAATTGAATTAAGAAATATTTTGAAACCCCTATACAGATATAAAAGTATTAATGGCTGTTCAAGAATTTCATCAGTACAACACTTGAAAAAGTTTGGTTTCATAAATCAACGGCCTGACGCTTCATTAATATCAGATTTTCAATTTTATAAAGGGAATAACCTTAACATATTAGGCAAATACAGAAAATATAACACTAGCAAAGACAAGGGTTGGATCTTTTCACTATTGTTATATATCACACAGACACAGAAAATGTCTTTCATATTAGTACAGATTTGAATAAAATTTTATAACATATATAGTGAGCAGGATTTCTCTTTGAATTCTGTTGTGGACTGAGAATTTTTACAAGAATAAATTAACAGCTTGCTAGTCATTCCTTACAGAGAAAAAAAAAATCCTGAACTGTTCTCATGGAAACTGGGACACAAAGTATGGGTTTTCAGTACTTGTTCTTAAGTATTGAAAAAGATCAGATTTTCTTTCTGGATGCTTTACTGGTTCCAAATGCCACTTCTTTTCAAAGTCAGTGTCAGTTCTGCAGTCCGTTTTCAGTCTCCCAGTGGTAAGAATATATTCAAAGGCTGTGTGCACAGCAGGGCAAAAGTCTTTCTCCATGAATGTAACTGTATCACTCATCAGTAACCTCCTGCCATAAAGGGGACTTATGTTTTCTTTCCTTTTAGTGACTCCTTGGGCTCTCGAATGCCAGTCACTGCCCGGAGACCTGGGGCAATATTCACATAATCTCTGTCAATAGTTCCTACATAAGCTACTGGTGCAACTTAACGTCAAGACAGCAGATCAAAGTCGGCGCATTCTAAAACTCATGTCCTTTATGGATCGATTTTCATAAACTATACTCTGTGTTTTAGAAATACATGGAAGCTCGCTCTTTGCTTTCTTCCTTTTATCCCAGCAAAGTTTATTTACATGAAAGGCAATTTGATTTGTACATAATAGTGTGAAATTCTGATGCAATGCATAAATCTCATTCTCCCCTGCGCATAGCCCCCTGGAGGTATTTTACTTCTTATAGTATTTTACTACACCTATTGTCTTATAGTAGAAATGCAAAACTCCTTGGGCTATTAAAATAAAAAGGCAGAGATTGCTTTGCAATACTTCACCGTCCTACCCCAGTGCCTGGTACAAAAGATGGTAGGAAATAAGTTCTGACTTATGACAGATTTTATTTTTAAATCTTCATTATGCTATAGGTAAATTATGACAGACAATAGTTTAGCATGTGTTTTCACAGTATATTATATCCATTTTAATTATTCAAGATTGCTTGGGAAAATGAATATAATTATTGGAAAGCATTTTTGCTCTCTTGATTTCAAATACAAATTACATAGATCTAGTCTTCTTAAGTAGACCTGAGTAAAATACAATGGACCAAACTATCTTCTCTGAATACCTTTTCAGATCAGTTCTGGGTACAAAGATTTTAAAATTTACAGCTTTCTCTAAAAAAACTGTATTTGGAAAACATGAGATTTAGAATAGAATGTACACCAATGCTATTTATGCTTATATCTAGCTTTAAATATATTTATCACAGAGGTAAGAGCATGTAACACATTAAATATGCACATATCAGAGGGCTGAAAAGGGAGAAGATGAGCAAACAAATACTAGCCTTAGAGCCAGAAGGCGGTTTGCTAAACTCCAAATAGAAGTTTCATTGTCCCAGTTCCCCTAAGCAAATTTTTATATAAAAATTACATGAGATCATTAGGTACAAAGCATCAGAGAGTTCTCCTGTAATCTGTGAGACATTAGGCAAGTCACTTAACTCAGAAGGTAGCCTTGGTCTTATCTGTTTTCACCACCTTACACAATTAAAATTTACGGGTTTTAAAATGTGTGAGGAAAAGAAAGTTTATTATTCCCATTTTTTGCAGTAAATGGCTGAGGCGGAAGAAAAATTTAGACAAATGGAGGAAATTACAGAGGACCTCATTAGTGGAGAAGATTTAAATTTTCGGAGAAACTGTATTTCTATTTTCCTTTTAATTCTACTCTTTCTTGCCAATAAGATAGTAATTTGTTTCAAATCCAAATACGATGAACTTTTAAACTCAAAAAGGTCCTTCGATTATATCCTGGATCAACTGATGTTGAAACTGGGGGCCGTATGTGTGTGCGTGCACATGCGTGTTTATGTTAAGGGCAGGGGTGGAGAGGACCTAAGAGCTGTGGTGCAAATCCTTTAGCTTTCCTCTAGAGCATGGAAAAGTGAAACTACAGGTACATTATGGAAGAGCAAGTGCAGTCTTGCTAAACCAACTTACCAGTTTTTCGAAGGGGGAAATCATCCTTCGCATCCTGTGCTCCTGGCAATGTGTATTTGTAGGATGGAGATGTTCCACTCAGGGGTGGAGAGCTTTGATCCAGTGACGTGTGGTGGGCAGCCCTACCGAAGAAAAAGAGGCTTCACCATTTGCTCTGGAGGTTTTACTGCGTGTTGGTCAGCAGTCATCAGTTGCACATGCTATACACGTGCCTCAGCTGTGTTTATGTTCTCTCTTGCCCGTGTGCACAAACCACAGCCTCACGGAACCAAGTTCGCTGTAGCAATATGCTATAGAATGCTGCAGGATCCCCAAGAATGACCACTGTGTGTCTGGTCACTCACTTACACAGAAGTTTGCCTCACTAAAAGAGAATTAACCAAGAGCCTGAGTTTGGATCATCTGAGATTACTGTGCATGTCTTCTTATGCGCCATACTAGTGAAAAAGTCATCATCCGAACCCTTTTTAGTCAACAGGGTAGAATAGCTAGAGTAAAAGTAAACACATAGAAGGGACTTCATTTTCAAAAATAGCTAGGTTATACATAAAAGTACATGAGGGTGGCTTTTCTACCATAGTGACACCACTGTGTCAACAGCCTCAGATCTCCTGACTTGTATAGCGCTTCCAAGGTAAAGGCTGGCAATCACATAATTCTTCAATATGGAACTGATTTTTAAAAATGTTTTGTCTTCCCTGAATAAATAGAGTGAAAGAGATGGAGCTGTACTACCAGGGAAACATTTTCAGGGCTGACCATAGATTATCCAGTGGACATGAACATCCACAATTACGATACGTGAAGAAAACAATGAACAGGGCATGGGTAGCACCACCAGGATGATAATTCGACCATTATCATTTATCTGAATCACACATTCTCAAAAATTAACTGGTTTAAGGGCACTTCATCTAGGCCTAACTGGCAAAAGAGTATTAAATTCGGATTCCATAAATTAATGGTGTCTGGTGTCGGACCCTACTGAAGTTCAGTTCAGTACAAAAAAGGATTGCTAAGTAAATGTTTAATATACCGAAGGGGACAGCTAAAGAACTTCCAGCTGGCATGCTGTTTGCATGTATTTGTTTCCCAATTAAAAAAGGTATTGTGTCTTCTTAAAATGAGCTTTAACTTAGAAGGAATATAAATTAGTTATAAATTATGTATGCAATTTTAGGTAATAAAGCGGTATTTATTTCTAAACACCCTGTGATGTTAACTGAGCATTTGAAAATTTTCTTCAGGGACTGGCTTCTCAAGTCAACTGACATGCCTGATAGAAATTACGTAAACCATTAAAAAGTATTTATATGGCACTCTGGAATCTGCCTCAGTTATTCTTTTTTTGGATGCTGAGAAGGGCAGATACTTTTAAAACAGAATTAGAAGTATAATAATTCTTTAAATAGAAGTCTTGGGATGCTTGCAGTTTCAATATAGAGTAATCAGTATGTATTCCCTTATCCTTGATGATACGAGGAATCAAAAAAAAACTGTAAGTGTAAAATCTGATGGCCATTCAGTAAACATATAAAATGAGAGAAATGAAACTGTTCTCTATTAAGCCTATTATCCAAACATTTGCCTATCAGTGTTTGTCCTGATTTTTAAAAACACCACATTCCTTCCTATTTTCCTGAGATGAGAATTGTGTATCTCATAGTTCTCTTCACTGGACCTGGGGAAACATGGTTCCGGACATCTGTAAAAGCAGAGTGTCTGATGTTGTCAGCTTGTGTGTGAGAAGTCAGTGTGCTCGGCTCACAGTGTAGCAAGAATTGAAGTCAGATGGTCAGGGGTAAACTTGTCACGGAAGACTCAGCTTTACTTCCTTGCCTCCGTTCTCTTTCTCTTCCCTCCCTTGTCTTCCTGCTTTTTTTTTTTTTTTTCTTTAAGTCGAAAAGCTTCTGGTCTTTTAAAAATAGCTCAGATCTCCACCTTCTATCGAGCCAAGTAAAATAAAGTCTCAACCTGCCAAATCTTCAGAAATTATTGTAAAGATATCAGATGCACCATCTGAGAATAGAAAAATGCAAAATAGGAACTAATTTCTCTGCCCCACCCCACATTTCTGTTATTCATTCACCAAAAAACATATCTACTTCCTTGCCCTCGAGAGGATACTTGCTAACATTTATTAAGTGCTGCTCTCTGTTGCATACTTGACCACATTATTTCCTAGGACCTTTCCAGCAACCCTGGAGGGCAGGTACTATCATTATGGTCTTTTCACAGAGAAGGACGAGAATTCAAGGAGCTTGTCCACGGCCACATAGCTGAGAACTGGCAGACCCCAGTCCTGTGCCCAGGCTGACCGAGTACAGAACCTGTGTTCTTGACCCCTAGGAATGAAAAAGGCCAAACACTGAACATACGTGTACCAGAGCTTGGGATGGCGGCTCACGGAATGATTTTTTCCATTTGTTGGAGTGTCTTTTGTTGCTGATTTACTCAATAGGAATTCTTGAAGCTTCTGCTTTACTTCTGTACTTGCCACTGCCCCTGAAACACACACATACAGAAACAGATGTTGATTTGGGGCTTTGTCCTTTTGTGCCTCTGGAGTATTTAGCAAAAATTAAGAAGTATCACCACTGGTCACTGCATATGAGGCTTTCCTATTAAAAGAAATCAGAGTCTAAACAGGATTTTGAAAACGGCATAGTAATGTTTTGTAACTACTGCTCAAACCGCTAATTTTCAAAGGACCTTTGATGATTTCTTTAATTGCCTCTGCAGAATAGGGAGTCCCAGAATTAACACTAATTTTTTCCTAAGGTTAAAAAAAATGAGGAGTAAAACAATGCCTTTTAAAAATCAAGAGTCTTAGGGGACGGGGACCGCATAAGTGACTGAACACAATACAATGATCTTTCCTGAATTGCTAGTTTGAAAAACTCACGTTTTAAAAAACTCTTTTGAGCATTAAACAAATAAATATCACTGACAGTTCCAGTTCAAGTCATCTGATTTTAAACCATGCTACATCCTGATTTTGAACTGACCTCAGACAGGGAATTATTTGGATCTGTCTCCCTCTTGTGGATAGTTTTTTTTAACAAATGTTCTGCCTTCAACCTTCCCAAAGTCTGGGTACTCAAAAACTAGATGGAGGCTTGACTTACAGAGCAATTATTACTTGAGCAGGAGAAAGGTATAGTGGGGAAATGTGGAAGCAAGTTTATTAATAAAACAATAGGGCGGGGCACCTGGGTGGCTCAGTCGTTGAGCATCTGCCTTCAGCTCAGGTCATGATCTCAGGGTCCTGGGATCGAGCCCCACATCGGGCTCCCTGCTCAGCAGGAAGCCTGCTTCTCCCTCTCCCACTCCCCCTGTTTGTGTTCCCTCTCTCGCTGTCTCTCTCTCTGTCGAATAAATAAATAAAATCATTAAAAAAAAAAACAACAACACAATAGGGCATGGCTAGGTTGCTTTAGTAGAACGTTTTTAAGGTTCAAAACAAGAGAAATCGGTATCCTTGCCCAAAAATGCTGTTTACTTCCTGAGACACTGCAGACCGAATGCAGAGAGAGGAGATGTGAATGTCAAAGCTTTACACTGGGGTCCATAATTTACTCTTTTAACTAAACGCAGACAGTTTTGACAAGTTTGATCCCGCTCCTTATCAGGCTTCTTCCTGAATGACGACCAGCTGAACATGAGGGAAGAGATCGATCTTTTACCCCTGGTGCCTCTTACTTTCTCGTCCTCTATCTTTGCCTCTGAGGGGAGGAAGCGGCTGGTCTCTGCGGTGCCTCTCTACTTCCTGTTCTTGCCTCTGCTGCTCCAGTTTCTGCTCCTTCTCTAGGAGTTCTTGCTGCTGTTTGATGGCTAGGAGTTCCTGTTGCAACTTGCGAGAAGAGAAAGACATGAGAGTGTGCAATTTCTTTAGGCTTCATTGTCATCACTGACCCAAATCAAACTCTTAGGAGCTTCTGGAACTTGTTTCTGTTTCGTTTACATTTTTACTCACTTTTTGGGTAAATTATTGGAATCTCAACACAAACAACTAACTCCATAGACGGTCTTCAGATCATCAATCAGCACGTTTTTAGGTAGCTTCATCACCCGTGCCGCCCCACCAAAAGTCAGTACCAAATTTGCTCTAATCTTCAGTTCCCTGAGTAGCGTCTCTTTGTACATGTGAAATATAAGAAACAGGCAACGGCAAGAATGGCCCAGAAGTGTGTTCTATCGAGTCCCTCCGGTGATAAATAAACAACTGAAACCTTCATTTATTATCCTGAGAAATGGTATGAAAGTAATCAAACCGAAGGAATGGTGAGAAATGAGTTAATTTGGGGGAAGTCTACCTGAAACAGAATGAATGTTAAACATTTCAAAACCTGGGGCACCTGGGTGGCTCAGTCGTTAAGCGTCTGCCTTCAGCTCAGGTCATGACCCCGGGGTCCTGGGATCGAGCACCAAGTCAGGCTCTCTGCTCAGCGGAGAGTCTGCTTCTCCCTCTGCCCTCCCCCTGCTCGTTTCTCTCTCTCTCAAATAAATAAATAAAATCTTTTTAAAAACCTTCAAAACCTTCAGAAAATGTTCTCAGATTAACATATCTATACATCCATAGTAGGCTTTTCTCTCATTAGAGCAGAAGCCTACTTCATTCATCCAGCAGGGAAAAACCTTCAGATTAGAGATGGGTCAAAACAAAATCATTTCCGTTAAACTACTGTCAGGCTGTCTGAATCCCTTGACTTCACTTCCAAACAATAAGTAACATGAACATGAAGGATTCTTTTTTTTTTTTTTTTTAAAGATTTTATTTATTCATTTGAGACACAGAGATACAGAGAGAGAGAGAGCATGAGCAGGGGGGAGACGGAGAGGGAGAAGCAGGCTCCCCACTGAGCAGAAAGCCCGATGCGGGGCTCGATCCCAGAACCCTGGAATCATGACCTGAGCCGAAGGCAGACGCTTAACCATCTGAGCCACCCAGGCGCCCGAACATGAAGGATTCTTAATAACCGTGTTGACATGTCCGTTTTCTCTCGGATGGAGAAACAGGTTCCTATGAATAATAATAAATGTGCTCCCTGCGGAGTAACTAAAGATTTTGAGTCCTACTTAGGCTCTGCTATTACTAGATATGAAATCTAGGCATCTTACTAAACTATTCAAAGCCCTGGCTCCTCGTATGTAAGAGAAATAATCTCCGTCAAACATCATGTTCAGAATGCACATGAAATTTAGTTTGTAAGTTTGAACCATACTGATTTCAATTACTATTACTATTTTCAGATCTCAGTCCTAATGAAGTTGGTGTAATTTGCTGTTTATATTAGATAGATACCTAAAACTCTGAAATTTATGCTGAAAAGTCAGAGAACGAAAACAAAAAGCTTTGTGGACTGGTATCAGTGTTACTCTGGAGGGAAAGGAAGCCAACTTCACATGCCAAACATGACAGCCTCACCTCTCCCAGAAGGATATGGTTAGAAGCATTTCTGGTTATTCTTCATATTAAAATCTTTGGCATTTTGGCCTTGATATATCAATCCCTTATTGGAATACTTTAGATACTCCATTGTAAAAGAAAACTTTATAACTTCACTTAAACTCTGCCTTAAATATTAATTCTATACAGTTACTGGGATTGGTGAAATTGATTTCAACCAAAGCCCCAGTGAAATTGAAATTTAATCTATCTTAGGAATCTACAAAAGCACACAATTCAATTTCCATAGCTACTATTCATTATTGAAGACTGCAGGAATGACACTGAATAAAAAGAGAAAGAAACAAAACACCAACTGCCCAGTTTCAGATGTTCTGCTACATGACACAGGGAGCGATGATGTGGTAATTTTGATGGCAGACAAGGCAAGACTACAAAACTTGGAACAACCATTTACTGGTGTGTGGTCTTGGGTAAGTTTCAGTATGTCTCTCTGCCTCAGCTTACTAGGTAGAAAAATGGGATAACAACATCTAACTCAACAGATGTTGATTACAGAAGCCAAAGATTCATAATGTTAATATAAGTAAAGTTTCATGTACTGTGTGTTCCTCATAAACATAAAATCCAAATGAATGTTGAAAGCATCAACTCAGCCTTTCCCATAAAAAATGTTGAGTAAAATGAAACAAAAAATTTAAAAAGTAAAAAGCTTACTAAACTTAAAAGGAAATGTAAAGGAGGTCTTTAGTTTCTGAGAAAAACAGCTTATTACTTTGGAAAATCATTTCAAAAACTAAATTTTCCTTTGAGCTATCTCAGAATCTTTTTTCTGTCAAGAGCCTCCTCTTTTCCTCTATTGTCCAGATGTCAGTAAACCTACTGTATTACTTTGTTTGAGCTAAAGTAACAGTTAATTACCTACTTGCTACTATTAACTCGTGAATAAAATGAAACAATACATTACATCAAAAATTTTTATATTGATCTTTACAACTACAAAAGGTGTCAAACATAAATGAAGAGAAGTATTTAAAGCAGTAATGTATTACTATTGCCCTGTATTCAATGCAACATGAATCAGTTACCACAGCAAAATGAACTATTATAGTTACTTTTAAATGTGTGGTGAAGAATATGAATTTTATTCATTCATCACTGTCATTCTCACATGCCAAGAATGAATGGAGAAGGAAATCTAAACATCAATGTTCCTGGTATTTTTTCAAGGGTCCAATAATAATGCTTTAAAAATAAGTCTATAAACTAAATTAAGGTTTCCTATTCTACAAAATACAGCCATGAGCTACTGGTTCTATATGAGACCCAAAACAAAATCCCCACTCTTAGTTTTAAGGTATCTTATAAGACTAATAAATTGCAAGAGTTCTTTTAGGAAAGTTCCCTAAAGAAGAAAACTATGATGTTTTATATCAGATGTCAAGCCTTTTTTGGAAAAGAAGATAGAAGAGGCCTTTCAGGTTAAGGAAGTGTATCTTAAAAAAGAAAGGACATAGGGAAGAACATACAGCATTTCTACCTTCTCAGACACTAATATTAGTGTGGTAGAATTTTATAATATTAACATAGATTAGTTATCTATATTAATCTGACATAAATGTGCTTGTATTTGATATGCAAGTGAGTCATAAATCAAGTATCTAGAACCTGTAATTTATTGCATTAGTAAATTAACATGTATTTACATCATTTTGAGGGACACAGACACAAAAATGGAATTTTATTATAAGTATTTGCTGATTTATATTACTGTCATAATAAATTCAAACTAAACATCTACTTAATCAGACCCAAATAGCTTTGCTTTAAATGTCTTTGTCAAGAATTTGAAAGACAATTTCACAAAAAAAAGCTTAAGTGATATTTATCTTAAAGATACAAAAAGAAATAGATACACAGATACACCTAAAATGACTTGATAACAAAATTGTCTATCATAAAAAATTCTGGGACATGAATATATTTCTCCTAGAAAAATTTACCCAACTTGGGTCTCAAACTGTCAACTACTCCCAAAATTCTTTCAATAAATTCTTATCTGCAGTCTATTAAACTTACATAAAAATATTAAAAACATTTACATCAGTTTCTTCATATAGAATTCTCTTGAGCTTTTTATGTTATTATTTTAAATGTACACATTATGAGGCCTTCTTCATGGGGAAAATTAGAATATATTCAGAACATCTACTTACAGGGAGGTGGGTGGGGGGATGGGGGAAATAGGTGATGGGGATGAAGGACAGCGATTGTTGTGATGAGCACGGGGTGATGTATGGAAGCGCTGAATCCCTGTATTGTACTACCTGAAACTTGTATTACGCTGTCTGTTAAATAACTGGAATTTAAATAAAAACTTTTAAAAATCCCCTTATAAACCAAAAACAAAGCAAAAAGACTCTTTATTTATTGTTTCTGATAAATAGTTTATGCAGATTCTTTAAAAGTATCAAATGGATCTTCCCAGGCTCATGGTTCTTCTTGGTGTAGAGAATAGATGGGGCCAATGAACAAAATCATGTAGAAGACAAACTCAACAGAAGTTAGAAAGTTACTATTCCCTACTGTTGATGCTGTAGAACTAATGGATGAGAGTGGTAGAGGCCCCTCCAAGAGCAAAGCTGAGTTTTAGTCAGCATTCTTACTACTTACCCAAGGTTTTCACCAGTAAAATCACAATTTCCTCCAGGTCATACTTCCAGGTCTTAATCACAGTGAACCACACAGCCCCCCGCCCACAATGTTCCTTCTTATGCCCATGTCCTGTTGCAGGCTTCCTGAGTGAAAAGGTCAGAGGCAAGGAAATATTTGCTACCTTGATGTGCTCCTGGAGCTGAGCCTGGTGCTGTCGTGTCAAGTTTTCATGCTGTTTCTGAAACTCGGCAATCAGGAGCTGCTTCTGGATTTGCTGCTGTTGCTGGATGAGGAGTAATTCTTGCTGTAGTTGCTTCTCGCGGACAACAGGATCCACCACGGGCATCATCATCCTGAGGTCTGTCCTTAGGTCTAAAGGTGAGATGGGCTCTAGGCCCACAGGAACTTCTGACTTCACATCCACTAGAGAAACAGGAGGAAAAAAAAAAGGGGGTGGGGAGGGGGGCATGACAGAGTATAGGAACTTAGTACATTGATTTGGAAACAAACAAAAATTAAAAGACTAGATTCTACCCTATACAACAAATTTTATGTCAACAAGTATAGTCCTTTTTTACAACAATGATAAAAGGTCTTTAGGGTATCAGTTTCGGTAAAATGGGCTCTATGCTAATTTTCACCCAGCAACCACCTTTCATGAGTCCTCTAAATTTTTCTTTTCAAAGAGATGAATCCTGCCTCCTCCTGCCCCCCCCCCAAAAAAAATAAAAACCAAAAACTCACAGAGAGATGAATCCAATTATTTTCTGGTATCAAAGTCATTCATAAAACTTACTCTACTGGACCACGAGTCAGGTCAACTTAGGACAAAAAATGCTACTTTATTGAAGAAAAGATGCCAGGTTATATAGAGAAACTTCTTTCACAACTCAATTTCCACACTTGCAAGCATGTTAGTTTGTAATCGGAGTCAGAAGGTATATTCTAAGATATATTCCTCAAGAATTAAGGAATTCCTTAAGATTTAAAGCTTTCAACAATGTATCTGCAGGGCTGTTGGACCTGGCAAAGAAAAAGTACAAATCTGCATACTTAAAATGTTGAAAATGCTAAGTAGATTAGTTAATCAACCACAACAGTGGTGCCAGGTCTAAACAAGAAGGAGTGAAAGTCGCCAGTCTCTATGTGCTGTTTTTTCAATGATGATAATCTATATTTCAGTTATCTTATTCCTAAAACGAGAAAGGCTCATAAATAGTGAGGAAGCTTAAAACAAATCAAACCACTAGAGGAACAAAGACTGGATGAGAACAATTAATTTGACAAGAATAATTACAGGATATTTAAATTTAAAAAAATTAGATAACGTATATAAAATTCTTAGCACTACTTCTGTCAGATAATTTGTAGGACAGTGTAAGAACAAAAGTTCATAGACAAGGTAGATAGGCAGTAACAACATGGAGTTGTTAAAAGAATTAAACGGGATAATCCACTCCAAGGACTTATACAGAACATTTCTCAATAAATGCCCCGGGTTTTTTAATTATATAAAAATGGAATTTTCCTGTGTATGAAAATAAATCAACACTGTGTGGCTAACAAAACAAAAATATTAAGAGCAAGTATGCAAATAAAATTGTGTGAGATTTCCACTTAATACTAGGAAATAAAAACACTAAAACTTCTAAAAAAATGGAAAAAGAAAAAAGAAAATAAAGGAATATAAATAAACAATTTTTTTAGTTTTTTTTGAAGATTTTATTATTTATTTATTTGCCAGAGAGTGAGAGAGAGGGAGCGCACACAAGCAGGGGAAGCAGCAGAAAGAGGGAGAAGCAGGCTCCTTGCTTTGCAAGGAGCCCGATGTGGGGCTCAATCTCAGGACCCTGACCTGAGCCGAAGGCAGACGCTTAATGACTGAACCACCCAGGCTTCCCTAAATAAACTATTTTTAAAAATTTACCTTTACTAGTAAAGAAATGCAAATTTTAAGTCAAAGTAAGGCATCAAACATTAAGTATCATCTATATGATTCATGTATATGCATATGTGTGTATAATGCCCCACTGTGTGGTGTAAGCATATGACCAAGTAGATAATTATATATTGCAAGTGGTACTACCAAATGGTTAAGACTTCTGAAAAACAATTTGGTGATATGTAAGAAAAATCATTAAATATTCTACCATTTGATTCAGGTTTGCCAACTGTAAGAATATATCTTAAGGAGACAATAGTAACAGGAAAATACAGTTCAATCTCATACTGTTTGCTGAAGTATTATCATTTTAAATGAAATCCACCAACTACAAGGAATTGTCTAAGTAAAATATGTCACATCCATATGGTGGGAAAACACACAATCATTAAAAGTAATGTTTATGGGAACATGAAGAATGCTATTATAACATTAAGTGAAAAAACAGTAATAAAAGTGACATATACCCTCTGATAACTCTTTAAATAAATATAACTTAAGTCAATATACATTTACTGAGAATCTTAAATTCCAAGGTTTGATTCTAGATGTTGGGTTCGGTAGGAAAGCAAAAGAAACAAAAATTTCAGCCCTCTTAGAGCATATAATCTAGTGCGTTTTTGATTGTATTAGTCTCTGAATTCTTGTAGTAAAGACCGGTGAGATACAGAACAGAAGACAGTTGTATTTAGGGTGGAAATAGAAATAATTTTCCCCATCTTACTTTTCTGTATTTTTCCAAATTGCATTTAATGCTCTGACTACCTACTCTAAGTAACTTAGATTTGTAAATTCCAGGTTGGGAGCTACAAAGTTAATTTTCCATGTGGATCTAAGAGCTATTTTCAATGAGTCGAGAAAGGCTAGCCGAAATCTTGTCTGTAGAAGTTAAGGCTGCAAATACTAAATAAAACATTAATGTCCTAACTTATCACTTGAATTATGTGTGCGTGCAAGGCACGTGGTATGCACCCGTGGGTGGGGTGGGGAGGGGGGCTGGTATCAATCCTGGGTTGCTAACGCTGGTCACTTTTCAATGTATTGATCAGAAGCTTGCATTGATAGCACTACCCATGTCACTTTAATGAAAATGGTAAAACAATTTATTAAAAAAACGTAGTTTGGTGGACGGTGTCTTCCAAAACACTGATATTTGTGAAAGGAGAGATAGTAATTGTGACAAGTTTGGGATTAAATGAGGACGATGGCCTGTAAGATTTCTTAGTTGCAATGTCTGATGTAGAACTTTCAATCAAGACTCTGGAGTAACATGAGATTTTGAGCATTAATTTATAGAGTTGGCATAATTCCAACCAAAAGCAATGACTGTTAATGATGTATTTCATTTTTGCATTAAAAAGGCCAAACTACAGCCCCCAGTGTTTACATGGAAATCCCAAAAAACAAAGGTCAGAATTTAACCCTATAAAGACACAATGTAGAATTTTCAGGAGACCCTAGGGTCTCTTCTTGTTGGCATTCTTATCATCCATAAACCGTGAACATCAAATCCCTAAAAAACCCCTCCCCACAAAACAAGATAAGGGGGGGAAAAGTCCCAGAACTCTCCAAAACAGCTATTGGAAACCTCAAAGGGTAATTTGACTTCTTAACCTGCTATCCCAACAGAAATGATTGTGTCTAACTGCTTGCCTTTGTTCAGACTAATCACTAAATTGTGAAAAATCACCCTCAACTTACAAAAACTGCTCTTGATTATAAATAATTGCCCAAGACTGAGAGAAAGTGGCAAGCAAGATCCCAGTCTTTCATCCAATTTATTCAGCAGCAATCCACATTCCATTTGTCTAGACTAAATATAGCAGCGCTTATACAAGAAATCAATAGTGCTTGCAGAGAGGAGAGCAAAGGCATGAATATTTCATCAAACTCAGAGAGAAATGGCAATCAGCAAACTGATGGTTCTGTGTAGGTCATCTTTGGCCTGCTGGATTAGTTCTGTTACATGGACAATAGCTCATCTCTGGCTAATCATAATCGTATCATAACCATTCTTTCTATTTTTAACATTAATTGCATTCTGGGGGGCAAAGACTCTTCGTATTCCAAAAGAAGTGATGGATTTTTCTTACAGCATCTGTGACAGGCTAATAAGCCTCCCCAGGAGCAGTAATAGTAACACAAGACCAGGGCTAAGTTTCAACAAGTTACAGTCACTTTCATATCACAGAATGTGAAAGAAAGGGCATTGTCCACAGCTGCTCTATTATCGTAATTAGAAATAATCAACTTACAAGAAAAAATTTACAACCAATTTTAACAGCGAGGAAATGGAATCATCTCTACTCATAACATCTCTTGTCTAGGAACATGCAAATTCCTTATAAATTACTTAGAACAGGTGCCAGGGATACATAAGTTAGAAAGAAGTTGATGCAAACAAATTGTAGTTATTAGTAGCACTAGTTATAAACAAATCATGTTTTCTTAACAGATCTCAATTACTTTAGCTCGAGACCTCATTACTTTATTTAGACTCACTATGTTTGTCTGAGATTTCAACTACATGCCAACACATATATATGTGATATTTATATTGTCATTCTAATACCAAATCCCCAGTCAGAACATTTCCAAATATACATTAACTAGTCTTATTAATTATCACTTTACAAAGCCCTGTTCATTCCTTCTCCAGTGTCTTTCTTAATTGTTTCTTGGATAGTTATGTCTTCTGTTTAGCATTAATCAACTCATGCAATTTTGTTTGGGAAATAGTTTTTAGTTTTTAATGAACATGGAAACAAAAATCTCCCATTTCAAAATAAAAATCTCAAATCATATAGATGTGTATAATAATCACACCTATATAAGCAACATACATGCCCTGTTTATAGTTGTAACTTAATTTCTTCAACACATTTTTAAAAATATTTTTTAAAGTGTTAATTCAGAGTTTGAAGGATAACTTAGTCACCATGGAGTGTTTAAGTCTTCATTTTAGATACTGTTATTTATAGCACAGTTAAGTAGGGAGAACTTTCATATGTTCAAGACCAGAAATCTTTGGTTGCTCTTTGTCAGCTGACTTACAAACAAGAATCCATTCTTTTTAAGACTGTTTTAAGTGAACAACTGGCAAACCCCACAGATGGAAAAATTCTGAGGATGCACAATTTTGACCATTTACAACTATCACAACTATGGCTGAAGACCGTTCATGCCACTCCTCTGAAATGAAATTCCAAAGCAGTAGAGTGCAAACTACAGGTTTTCACAAGCAATTGGCACAGACACAATCTCACCACCATTTGTATGTGTCAACTCAGCTACAAATTAAAACTTGAGAAAATGCAATAAAAACCAGGACCATGTTTATCTCCGTTAATATTCATAGTTACAGCAGCTACAACTCGGGGTGGAGCATCACCAATGCTGCCCAGAGCCAGTTTACATGGAAATTAAGTTCTTTATACCAAGGAAAGGATTGTCCACAACCAATGGCAAATGGACATACGAA